CCAAGATACGTTTCGTGAAATTGTTCCACTTTTATCTAAAAACTTTTTTACATCAATTTTGAATAAAATCGACTGGATTAATTAAAAGGGAACATTCTGTATATACGAGGGTCGTTTGAAAAGTCCGTGCAAAGTCACTGCTGATGGTACTACTGGCGCGTATCAAGGTTAGATTTAGTTAGTAGCATCTCTTGGAGGAACACACACCAAGTTACAGCCAGATCGGTCTATTTGTTTGTGTTTGGCATTCATTTGAATCGAGGAAGTCGAGGAGGGTTTGTTTCTGCAATCACGTCCTCGTTTCCATAAAATCTTTTTCCCGCCAGCCATTTCTTCATATTGGGGAACAAATAGTAGTCCGAGGGAGCCAAGTCTGGAGAATAGGGGGGATGTGAGACGAGTTGGAACCCTAATTCCATTAATTTTGCGACCACAACTGCTGAGGTGTGAGCTGGTGCGTTATTGAAAATCACTCGACTTCCTCGATTCAAATGAATGCCAAACACAAACAAATAGACCGATCTGGCTGTAACTTGGTGTGTGTTCCTCCAAGAGATGCTACTAACTAAATCTAACCTTGATAAGCGCCAGTAGTGCCATCAGCAGTGACTTTGCACGGACTTTTCAAACGACCCTCGTATAATACTATCTTTATGATTAGATATATTCTTTACAGCCTTTTCTATATAGAATATCCTAAATTTTTTGACACATCGCTTGTGGGCAGATAGAAGGGAAATTGATCGCAAAATGTTAAGAGGATTTTTCGATTCAGTTTAGTCCGCTCTACCTACTTACAAGCGGTGTGTCGAAAAATTTAAGACACCCGTACAAAAATAGATGAGCAATATATAATTCACATATTCATTTATATTAGAGGATATTTATTATAACGTGTTATGCTTATGTTTTTCATATCTCATCGTAGTGAAAGAAAACTTTTAACTTGTATATTAGCTTTAATGTGATTTACTCCATATTTTGTATGTATCTCTATTTTTATGATAAATGATAATACTTCTTGGACTGTAAATGTAATTGTTTAGTATATTGTATAAAGAAACGAGACACTGCCGTGTCTCCAGAAATATAATATAAAATAATTAGAAAAATAAATCAGACTGTATAGTATATGTATTTTTTTTATATTAATCCTTTTGGAATAATTTATTCACCTATGGCATAGTGCATCATTTTTCATATGCAGAGTGTTTAATGATAGATATAATATCGTTCATAGATATATAGATAAAACGGACTAAACTAAATTGAAAGGTCCTCTACTATTTTGCAATTTTTGTAATAGTTATCGAGATTATTGATTATCATAAAGATCGCATACGAATGATTCGATGTTTACTGTGTCTAGATATACAGTATTGTAAAAACTCCCTAATATGGTTTACTTTTTTTTTCAATACTTCATAATTTTTATAGTGTGTACTTCTCACCCGCAACAGCGCACGTGCGCGCATTTGCGCACTGTTGATCAGCAGTTACGATGGCGAAATTATAATTAACTAAAGTACGAATTATATACATCTACCATACAACACTCTCCGTGCGATTTTTTCCTGTTTCCAAATTAAAAAAGACAGCTATAGCTGGGAAGAAATTTTCGTCGGATGCTGAAATGATAAATGCCATTGATAACTATTTTTCGGGTTTAGTTATTATATTGAAGGAATGAAAGGTCTAGAAAAACGTTGGATATCAAGTGTATTGAGTTGAAGGGAGATTATGTTGAAAAATTTAAATTTGTTAAAAAAAAAGTTTTTTCCTTAGATAGGAAATTGTTCAATCAACCCTCATATATCAAATTGATAAAAAAAATCGGGATTTATATAAAATTGGACATTATTTTCTGTGTTCGAATATCTAGCACTTTGATTACAACGTATTTTTAACTGACCGCACACGATGCATGATTTTCATGCTTACTCTCTTCAATGCATGTTACTTTCCTTAGCTCACTGCATAAACGTCATCAATATGGTGGCTCTAACCTATCATCTCACCTCGTCATACGCATGTCACCAATCAATCACGTGAGTGATTCTTAACGTTTTGGTTGGCGCGTGCAAGAAAACGAGCATGGAATAATGCACCACATCAAACACAGAAATCAAGGATGGTAGTATACTTCGTTCAATGCACCAAGGTGTTTAGCACGCATCAGAACAGGAACAGCAGCATGTAAGCCCATTATGCAGGAAATCGTGCATCGTGTGTGGCCATGTTGAAATCGTGACGTCGAAGCGAGGAATGACACGTTAATTTATGCTGCAAGCCATTTGTAAATAAAGACAATTTGGATAAATTTAAGTGACAAGATTGCTTTAAAATATCTGTAAAAATGGGCTGAAACTGCCCTTTTCTTCCTTGATAGTCAGTAAATGATCATAAAAGGCAGGTAAAGTAAGCCTAATTTCGGGCAGAAACACATGGTTTGAACAGTTGTTGAAATGAATGAAATATACGCTTTTACGTATAAAATTCCAGGATAACTATAGTTTCTGACCATTTTTAGGATTCTCATAAGTACGAGACACGTCACATTTTCACAATTAAGCAAACAATAACGAAATGGCATGTAACACAAATTTCGTCGTCAAAACGTCATTTTTCCACGCCTAAAGTTCAGTCATTTATCGTGGCGAGGCACTAACATATATAAGCACGAATACATGTACATGGGTGTGGGGCTACCGATTTTGTCACATTTCGCCACGCCGCCGACTGATTTTGAATCGCATGCTGACTACTCAGGAGTCTTAAGATACAAAGGAATTTAAGAATGAGCAACCCCAGTTTGCAACGACAGTTTGTCGAGTAGCGATTTTTATTGTAAAGTCTAGTGAGAGTTTGCCTCAAATTAGACAATGTCTTCATATTTGTTGTAACATATTATTTCGTCTGTACAAAGTTGCCTATACATGGCCAGTGTCAATATTGGCACCGATGAGATACTATTAAAAACGACATGCCCTAGATAAATTTTCATAACTATATCAATGGAGCCCGGGAATGAGTAAAGAATGAACAATGACATTATCGACAATTAATAAAAAGTTTGCTATTATTAGCATAAATATGCTAGCATATTTTGATAATATTAAATACATTATTATTAAATTCGTGATTTTGTATTATGGGGCATTCTGTCGGGAAAAGGTCGAATAAAAAGGACACGAGGCGCAAAGCACGTCTTGAACGGGGGGCGTTTTATTCTATCAGAGCGAAAAGCGCGGGAGAGGTACAAAAATGTACAAGAAGTGTGGTGTGGGAAAAAACTAAACGGTGTGCACAAGGCGCAATAGTGTCGCTGTGATGTTGACGTCCCCGTGTGAGCTCATGGCGAGTGATTCGATATCACGAACCCCTTCAATCCCTCACGTTCGTGATGTCCAATCCAAATCTCTGGGTACCTTCGGTGGCAACACGTCTCAACGGTTTCATCAATATGTCGGCCTGGTTCTCGTTCGATGGAACATAAGATATCGCGATCATCCCCTCGTTCAGTTTTCTCGTACAATATGATATGCGATGTCAATGTGTTTAGTGCGCTCTTTCTCGATGTGGTTTTTCAAGAAGTCGATCACTGCTAGGTTGTCGCATCGTGGTTTGCAGCCTTGGGATGGTAAGTGTGGTAAGCCAAGTTCGGTGATGAACATCTGTATCCACATGGCTTCCTTAACTCCTGTCGCCAGAACGACGTATTCTGCTTCCATGCTCGAGATGACTATGCACTTCTGCTTTGCTAACTTCCATTGTATCAAGTTTTTCCCTAGAGTAGTCGTCATACCAGTATGAGTGTCGATCGTCGCCTGTCCAATCTGCGTCGCTGTGGATTGTAAGCGTTTGTCTGGCTCGGTACAGGTGCGCGTAGTCTTTGGATCCGCTCGGGTAGCATAGTACATGCTTTGCCTGTGCCCAATGTGCTGGGCATTGGGCCGGGATTTGCGTTGAATTGGGATAATTTGATTACTGCGTGCATTATATCGAGCCTTGTGTAGAGAGCCAGATGTATTAATGATCCTACGAGTGTCATTATAGCACTCTGGCCATCTCTTCTATCTCCTCTGACGATTTAGCGTCGTCATCCGTTCGACATCTTTTGCCCGTGTTCGAGGGGTGTCGCAGCTGAAGCTGAGGCGTTCGTTTAGTCCATACTTTGCGAATATTGATTCTATGTATGCTTTTTGACTCAGTCGTATGTCGTCGTTTTTATTTCATTGAATCTTCATTCCTAAAGCGTAGGTGATGTCGCAGAGATTTCTAGCTTCATAGCGATTTATGACGAGTGTAATCTTCCACAGAGCACTCTTTTCCTTGGCGAATATAAAAATGTCGTCGATGTATATTACTATGACTGTCCGATTGTCTTTGCGGTACACGCAATTCGACGATTGTAGTTTTTGAAACTCGTTTTCGGTTAAGTTGTTCGTTGATTTCTATATTCCATCTTCTTCCGGATTGTTTTAATCCGTAGATGGATCGTTCGAACTTAATCACTTTTTCCTTTTCGATCTCGAGTAGGGGTGGAGCCCTATAGTTCCTCTTCGAAAGTTCTTTCTGTTTACGCGTTTTTGAGGTATATGTGTCGCGGCAGCGCCGCTAATAAGAAGTTAGCGAAGGTGAATATGTTTCATTGTAGTCTTCCCTTCTAAGAGAATCTCTACGCCACCAGTCTTGCCTTGAATTTTGAAATTTTACCTTCGGAGTCCTTTTTGAGTTTAAACATCCACTTGCATCCTACGCAGCGTTTGCCTGGTAGATCGGCGACTTTCCGGGTCCTTCGATTTTCCAGGCTCTCAATTTCTTATTAGATGGCTCGTTTCTACTCCTTTGCTTGTGACGAGGCTAGAGCCTCGTTTATGTCGCGGAACTCGGCCACTTCGACAAAGTTTATCTCCACTTCGCTCTCCGAGTAGGATCTTTGTTCGTCTGCGCCGGTTTACGGTTTCCCTTTTCGGCCGTATGGATTTCTCACTACTTTCTTAGATCTGCCAGCTTTTCTTTTCTCTTGGCGTTTGTTCTCCGCCTCCATTGTCTGTTTTGCTCTGGCAGCGTTCTTTATGTCGTCCGATGAGTTTCCTGATGAGTTTTCCGACGTTGTTCGTGATTCGTCGTTCTTCGTCTATTCTCATAGTTGCGCTGAAGTGTCGTGACGTAGTCTGACTCCGGTTCACTGTCGCTCTCTGACTATATGCGCTTATATTTGTATCTGTGTATTGCGCTATCTCTATATCTACTCGTAACCGGTTTTATCTTCGGCGAACCATACGTGATTCGTTACGAGTACATCCGCTTTTTCTGAACACCTAAGGCGGTATCCTTTAATCTGTGACGCGTATCCGACAAGGAAACATTCTAAACTGCCCTGTCATCGAGCTTCCTTCTTCCCTGTCTGGGTAGGTTAGCGTAGGCTAGGCATCTGTACGCTTTCAAGTGTTGAACACTCAGTGTATTACCGGTCCATATTGATATCCAATCTGATATCTCTCCTTTAATCGACGAGTGTCCAATTCTGTCGCGGATATATGCGGCCGTCACTACGGCTTCGGCCCAGAACTTTTGTGGAACTTTCGCGTCCTTGAGCATTGATCTCACTAGATCCATGAGCGTCCTATTTAATCTCTCGGCTATTCCATTCATCTGGAGGGTTTCTATGTTCTTTCATGTTTGATGCCTGTGTTTTCGAAGAATTCCGTAAGTTCCTTGTTGCAGTACTCGAGTCCATTATCCGTACGGAATCTTTTTACCCTCTTTCCTTTTTCTCGCTTCACTCTATATATTTTCACGCTATATATTTCTTGACGCAGTCAGTGACCTCTTCTTTTGATTTCAAGTATCTGGACCATGTGGGGAAAAAGGTCGGATAAAAAGGGCAGCACGAAGGGCGTTTTGAACGTGGGGCATTTTATTCTGTCAGAGCGAAAAGCGCGGGAAAGGTACAATAGTGTACAAGAAGTTTGTGGTGGGGGAAAAACTAAACGGTGTGCACAAGGCGCAATAGCGCCGCTGTGATGTCGACGTCGTCGCGTGACATGGCGCGATTTGATGTCACGAACCCTTTCACATTCTTTGTCAAAAAGGCCACCCCCCTTGTCCAAAATTCAGAGGGGTCTACAGGACCTTTCATTTTGGGCTTAAATTGTTGCTTGAGATGTCTACTTTTAAAAAAAACGTGGCCTTTTTCGAAAATCAAATGGCGCACTCAAGATGGCTGCCAGAATGAACAAAGTCGAGCGGAAAAAAAGAAAATGATAAAACGGGGAGCACAGACTCTTGCATAACGCATAACACATAAGACATAAGAAACTGTAAAAAATTTTTTGTTTATATCTCGAAAAATATTGATTTTAGAAAAAAAAGGTGTTCAACAAAAAATAAAGCTCTTGAAATTCTCTACAAAAAAGGTCCTATGCATAATTTTCGTAATTTTAATCTTTACGCATAATATAATTTTGAATTACAAGACCCTTTCAATTAGGCTATATAGATTGTACACACAGACTTCTTATAGAAGTCTGTGGTTGTATAGCACACCCTATACAATCTATATAGCCGAATTGAAAGGGTCTCGTAATTCAAAGTCATATTACGCGTAAAGATTAAAATTACGAAAATTATACATAGGATCTTCTTTGTAAAAAATTTCAAGAGCTTTATTTTTTTATTAAACACTTTTTTTCTAAAACCAATATTTTCCGAGATATACGTAAAAAAGCAAATTTTTGCAATTTTTTCAAAATGGCGGCCAAAATATGGCCAAGTGCCAAATTTTATTATCAAATTCGTTTTTAGCAGCTAAAAATACATGGAAAAATTTGCTGCTATTAATTTTCCAGGTCACGTAGTTCTTCTGAAGATTTACCTTTTTCTTTATCTTTCTTTTTCCGCTTGATTTTGTTCATTCTAGGAGTCATCTTAAATGTGTCATATTGATTTTTCGAAAAAAACTACGTTTTTTTTTAAGTAGACATCTCAAGCAACAATTTAAGCTCAAAACGAATCCCGTAGGCTCCTCTAAATTTTTGACAGGGGGGAGGGAGGGTGGTCTTTTTGAGACCATTCATAAAGAATGCCTCTATATAAACACTGCATAAATAAGTACGCATACTTTTAATACTATATCTTATGTACTGAAAATTACAATTTTTTTCTCTACAGTTATCATCTCTGATAATCAAACTCAGATGAACATTAAAATCACAATTTTAAATAAAAATCGAGTATTTTATTAATGGCGAATTTGGCACATATGCACTGACTTTGTTCTAGTGCTGCCCTGACATGATGTGAATGCAGAACTTTGGTGCTATGCCAACTACTACTGCCAGAAATGTCAGTGTAACATTTCTTGAACTCGTTCAGTTCATTCGCTTCATTCCGAATATAAATTCAGCACTACACTGAGTCAATTTTCGTTTGCCGAATACAATCTAAACGCACTGATACAGTGTGCATAAACCGAATGTGGCACTGAAAAAGTTCGCATTCAGTGCGCATTAGTGCATTCTGCCGAATTCGCTATAAGTTTTAACATATATATATACATGTCTACGAAACTAATAAATCATAAAATTAGTATTATATTATCACTTTCTTACTCTTATTTTCACCAATATAGATTAACTTTAATCTCGATTCAACTTACTCTTCGTCTTTGTCTAGTTCTAAAGATTAGAAAAAGACGAAGAGTAAGTTAAACCGAGATTAAAGTTAATCTACGTTGGTAGAAATGGACCTTAGGTTCGATTGTTTCACCTTTTGGTAAATTTTACCTGTTAGGTAAATCTGGTAATCCGCGCATGTGATTGGATAATCTTGCTACTTACCCAACAGGTAAAATTTACCAAAATTTTACCTGTGAGGTGAATCTGATAATTCGTGCATGTGATTCAGTAGTCTTGCTACTTACTCAACAGGTAAATTTTATCAAAAGGTGGAACAACCAAGCCTTAGGGTGCTATTTCATTTGTGCATTTTCGTCGTACGACAAATGTGTGTAGGACAGAGGGCTTCGGATCTCTCTATCCTATAACCAATCAACAGCCTTGAAAAATTTGTCGTACGACAAAAACACACAAATAAAATATCACCCTTAGGGCCGGTTGTTCCATCTTTTGATAAAATTTACCTGTTGAGCAAGATTACTGAATCACATGCGCGAATTATCAGATTCACCTCACAAGTAAAATTTACCAAAAAGGAGCAATTGGTCCTTAATCACTTAAATTTAAGTCACGCGAACTTCCGTAAGACCGACGGTCTTTAATAGTATCTCGTCGGTGATATTAGATAAAATTATATCACATTATATCAGTATACAATTATACATCACGTACTGAAAAATATCAAATTGTTTCGTATGGAATATTGAATTCCACAGTTCAAAAACTTTTTTATTTTCCTTAATACAAAAAGGGATCGATTCGTCTTTCTGTGAACAAGATTTTATTTAATTGCTCTGCACCGATAATATTTATTAATTAATATTAACTGCAATTATTCGGAAGCCTAATTCATAAATATAGAAAATATACAAATTCTCGTTTTCTCGCTCTTGTAAATTAATTAACATATTGGATGTATTAGAAAATCCGAGGTTAAACTCAATATCACGTGTTTACTCTGGTACGATCTTTTAGAGATTGAATATAAATATTTTGCTGGCAAGAGCAGAAATTAAGAAGGAAATATATACGAGGCCCATTCCCGGCGTATAGTGTGCGTGCGTGTATGCGTGCGTGCATGCGTACGTGTATGTGTGTGTGTGATGTGGTGTGTGTATGTGTGTAGCGTGTGCAGGATGGGTCTGATAAAAAGTTTGTTTCTTTTTTCCCTGAAAACGGTTAAAGATAAGAGGAAGACACCTATTATCAAAATTGTAAAACGATAAGAAAGAGACATACTTTGATGACCTTCAGTAAATGTCTTTAATTTTTTTATTACCAATAAATAAAGATTTTTTAAAATAGAAAAGAGTATTTTCTAGTCATTCCATTGATGGTACTCAATCAGCTGAATGTTTTTGTATTAGAATAATTCTTTGATTAGAATAATTCAACTATCTTTGGAATATAAATTAAAAAAGAAACAGATTATAAGTTTAGTTAGAATTAATTTTTTAATTATTGCAATAAATCAAAATTCATTATGTTGTTCTAAACATGCCTGTAGTCTTCGTGGAAAGCTTGCTTGAACTTTTTCTAACTCTTGAGTCGTCATTTCACGATAAATAAAAATATTTTTTATTCTTTCTACCATGTTTTTCGGTAGGCTTGAAAGTGAAGAGTAAAAGAGCTGGATTATTTTCAACGTCCTATCATCCGGAACATATAGAAAGAATAAAAAATATTGAGTTCCAAAATAATTTCAGGAATCTACTCTCAAGCATTGTTATGGCTTTAACGAACACCTTGTATGCGCGCGCGCGTGTGTGTGTGTGTGTGTAACATATTTGTCTGCAGAACAGGGATATAACAATGGTCAGATATACAAAAATTACGATCGGTCGATTAAAAAAAATTGAGCTAATCTTAATACCTATATACGCTTACGTTATATTCATGTAGATGTCGACTGGGAATGTCAGACATACTTGATCGAATACAAAAGACGCCAACGGAAACCATAAAGCGACAGTGACAATAATTTATATTTGATAAACATAAAGTGTCACTGACGTCTAACTTCAGCAGCGATTTTTAAATTCTTTGTTAAATAAATTAATTACATGACTTGATTCATATCTTCTTTTCTGTTTCAGACTTTATTATTTTATCCATATTCCAAAATTTGCTTGTGATAAAACAAGAGATACCTGAAAAGTAAAAATTTATTTAGCGACTGAAAGAACGATTTATATCTTTTTCTTTTCAGTGTATTCATTGAGAAATTGTAATAAAAAATCTAAATCCAGGTGATTCTCGTTCACTTTCAGTATCGCCCTACTTTAATCTTACCCTTCGCTGGTTAAGACATCCTTCAACTTGGCCCGTGTAATCAAATGATCATTGCACTTGAACCATTGATCTCTCTGTTGCCTGATGAAAGCGGTATAATGCCCAGTCTCTAAAGAACCCTCATGATTTATTACAGCAAACAGAGAGTACCTATTATCAACAATTATATTTTAATTCAACGTAGATTTCTTTTGAAACGGTATAATGTTGGTTACCCAGAAGTAGAAAAAAATTGTAATTTAAGAGATATCACTACCGATTATCGCTGAAACTCATATCCTCTCCATTTTTCGATAAACCATTCAGCATAGCGCTATTGTTGTTACCATTGCGTTTATGCGACATGAATGGCGTCATATCTAATTGTTCCGGAAACGAGATAAATGTAGAGATCTTCTTTTTAAAAATCTTATCTTGGATTATGAAGTGCTCAAAGCGCTTTAGATGAAAGATTGCCACGATAGGCAATTGCTTCATCGTTAATTGCTTTGTGCTTTCTTGGTAAGTCTCACAGTTGCTACATTTGATTTTTGCACTAGAACCTAAATGCTCGGCTCTGGTAAATTTTTCCAGACAATCTAGCAAGGAAGTGGGTGGCCCGGGTGTATTAGAACCAGAGGTACTAGCTGCCGAAGTTAGATCTAAAGATATGTCCCAAAATGGATCTATTGTAGTAGACACTCCACTGAAAAGGAAATGAAGAATAACAGAGCTAAGTCTGATATAATACGAGGGTCGTTCGAAAAGTCCGTGCAAAGTCACTGCTGATGGCACTACTGGCGCGTATCAAGGTTAGATTTAGTTAGTAGCATCTCTTGGAGGAACACACACCAAGTTACAGCCAGATCGGTCTATTTGTTTGTGTTTGGCATTCATTTGAATCGAGGAAGTCGAG